GGGCTGAAAGCACAAGAGTGGCCTGCCTGGTGGATGGCATTGCAGCACTTGAGGGCCTGCGGCTGTGATTCCCAGGCGGGGTGGAAGTGCAGGAGCATGGCAGTCCTCCATCTTGGTCATCTCCTATGTGCTAGACCCTCTGCTGGATGATGGGGACTTGAAAGTGGGTAGGCCATGGTCACTGCCCTGGAGCAGCAGGAAGATCTGGAAACAAATCCTCCTGACATCATCAGTACTGGGTCTTCCCTCCAGCCTGTAAACACCACCAGCAGAGAAGAAGTCTGAATTCCTGCTGTGTCCCCAGCTCAGAGCCCAGGGCTGGCCCACATTAGAAGCACAATACAGATCTAGTGGCTGGATAAATAAACAAGGCAGGCGCAGTGAGAGCCCAAAGGAGGAAACAAGTAACTCTGCTTGCAAAGTGTTTTCACAAGAGAAGCTGGAACTGGCCCTGAAAGGATAGGATTATCTGCACAACAGCAGGAGAGGGAATCCTGAGCAGAGAGAGTATCACATGCAAATGCCTGGAAGTAGAAAACAGCATTGCCCGCTCAGGGAAACCCAAGGAGGCCACTGTCTTTTGAGCATAGGCTCCATGGAAGATCGTGCAAGGAGAGAGAAGGTTCACAGATTGTGTGCTGCATGGGAGGGCCCGAGTTTCTTGGTGGGACTTGCATTTAGAAAGCTGACTCTAAGGGCCAGGAGAACAGATCAGATCAGAATGAGTGGCAAGACAGGCTCGAGACTTGCTGTGCTTATCAGACAACCCAGCAGAGCCCTCCCAGGACCCCAGCGGCCCTCCGCAACCCCTGGTGCAGCACTGGCTTATAGTAAATCCTTCATAAACATTGGTTGACTTTTTTCGTGGCATAGCTGGGCCCTGAATCCAGGTCTTCTGATCCTTCCATTTCTTTTACATAAAGAGCTCTCCAAATATTTAGTCAAAGGGTTTTGGGTTTGGGTTTAATTCTTAAGCTTCAGTTTACTATGTCTTTTGAATTCTAGCTTTCAGCATTTCACCTCTTTGTAACAGAGGTTCAATCTTTTAAAAAATGCACTTTGGAACTAACGATCAATAGAGTTTATCTTCAGGAGTGCCAGCAAATACTCGCTTTTTCAAGTCATTGCTACTCAGAACTAGGCTATTTAAATAATTGTAGTGTTGAAAAGTTTGTCATTCCTGCATTTTAAAATAATCACCTTCACGATTCAGTTTCTAAACTTTTCTGATGAAATGAACACACATGTTTGATTGAATTCGTATTTTTTAAAAAGATATCAGGTCTAGTTTTTCTCCCCGTGTTTGCAGGAGTATATAGAGGCAATAGATTTCACAGCTGACATAAGGATTATTATTAATCTAGGCCTCAGTGGCACCCAGCTGGCAGAGATACCTGACCTTACCTTTGATGGGTTCAAAACTGGTGATTTCTCTCCAGTGCTCAGGGGAAGCACACAGCCGTGCCATCTCTTTGTTCTCTCCTTATTACAGAATCAGTTGCAAGGCCTCCCTCTTCTTAAGGCCCCCGCTTTTGGAGCTCAGCACCTCTCCAGATGCCTGTGACGTTAGTGCCATTTGATAGGGCAGCCACCTGGGGTGCCAGGCAGATGGGGCATCTTCCAAAAGAGGGTGTCCTGCTTGGCAGGGCAAGGCCACCCAGAGTCCTTGGACTGGCTCCACAGCTGTTCAGTTATTCTAAGCAGAAGGTTTGGGCCTCAGGAAGAGAGAAGTAGAAGACCTGCTTCATCCTCCTGCCGTAGCCGCGCCCTGCCCTCCACACTGCCTGCTCACCCTCCAACCTGGAACTTTAATTTTCCATGCATAATTCATGGCCAGTAGCAGTTCAAAGCACTCTCCTTAACTCTGGGATTGTACTTTCACAAACACCAAAGCCTTAGGCTAAAGGGCTATGGCAGATTTCCAGACCTCTGACAGCCATTTAAAGAAGATCAAGGCTGGGCACAGTGGCTCGTGCCTGTAACCACTTTGGGAGGCCAAGGTGGGAGGAACACTTGCTTGAAGCCGGTGGCTCAAGACCAGCCTGGGCAACATAGTAAGACCCTGTTTCTACAAAAAAATTTAAAAATTAGGCTGGGCATAGTGACTCATGCCGGTAATCCCAGCACTTTGGGAGGCTAAGGCAGGTGAATCACCTGAGATCAGGAGTTTGAGACCAGCCTGGCCAACATATAGTGAAACACCATCTCTACTAAAAAAAATACAAAAATTAGCTGGATGTGGTGGTGCACACCTGTAGTCCCAGCTACTTGGGAAGCTGAGGTAGGAGAATGGCTTGAACCTGGGAGGCAGAGGTTGCAGTGAGCCAAGATCACACCACTGCACTCCAGCCTGGGTGACAGAGCAAGACTCTGTCTCTCAAATAAATAAATAATTTTAAAAATTTAAAAATTAGCCAGGCATGGTGGTGAATACCTGTAGTCCCAGCAGCTTGGGAGGCTGAGGTGGGAGGACCACCTGAGCCTGGGAGGTCAAGTGAGCTATGATAGCACCACTGTACTCCAGCCAGGGTGACAGAGTGAGACTATTTCTAAAAATCAAAAATATATATATATTTTTAAAGAAGACTGCAGGGAGGGGCATACCTTTTGGAGCCCTTAAATCATGACATGTTGAATTGTGGGTACTGTCAGTGAGTGAGAGCAGCCCTGCTTGGGGGCAGAATGGCACAGCTCTCCAGATACCCTGAGCTGTTCTAAATCACCAAGTACTCTGTGTGAAAATGCTTGGGTGTGGGTGTGTTCTGTGATGTGGCCCCTCACCTGACTAAGCTTGTTCTCTAAGTTTAGCTCTTTGTCATGCAAGTGAGTGTATTTGAGTACATAATAAAGAGGCACATAGGAATGTGTGGACTGGGGAGTATTTACTGGCACCCCATAGTGGGGTTCTCAAACCTGAAAGTTTCAATCATGGGGAATCTCAGTGAAATGCAGATTCCCATTCCATAGTTGGGACAAGCCAAGAATCTGCTTCTCTGCTAGGCTGTCAGATGATATGGATGCTGGTGGATCACTCTTGGAGCAGGGCTTCTCATCTTTGACTGCAGATTCCCATCTGTATTACTCCATTTTCACTCTGCTATAAAGAACTACCTGAGGCTGGATAATTTATAAAGAAAAGAGGTTTTATTGGCTCACGGTTCCACAGGCTGCACAGGAAGCATGGCTGGGGAGGCCTCAGGAAACTTACAATCATGGAGGAAGGAAAAGAGGAAGGAAGGAAAAGAGGAAGATCTTAAATTGTTTGGCTGTGTCCCCACCCAAATCTCATCCTGAGTTGTGGTTTCCATAATCTCTACATGTCATGGGAGGGACCCAGTGGGAGGTAATTGAATCATGGAGGCAGTTACCCCCATGCTATTCTTGTGATAGTGATCTCACAAGATCTGATTCTTTTATAAGAGGCTTTTCCCCCTTTGCTTGGCACCTCTCCTCCCTGCTGCCATGTGAAGGACCTGTTTGCTCCCCTTTCTGTCGTGATTATACATTTCCTGATACCTCCCCAGCCCAACGGAACTGTGAGTCAACTAAACCTCTTTCCTTTATAAATTATCCAGTCTCAGGTATGTCTTTAATAGCAGCATGAGAGCAGACTAATATAATGCCCCACACCAATGAAAGAATCTCTGAGGGTAGGACCAGGATCTCAGCAGTTCTGCTCAATGATTATTACCCAGGATGAGTTGGTGTGGTGTGAGGGACCTGAGTGGGTGACGGGACTGATTCTACCACTTTGGAAATTAACCAAAAGTATCTTGCAACCATCTCTGATAGTATGTGCTTTAAGAGGGTGAGAGTTAAAATGAACAGTTATCTTTAACGTTACCAGCTCTGACGCTCCCCAGGACTGATCCAGTCCCTTAGGTCTGGCTTGCATGTGTCAGCCACAGAGTCTCAGCTGAAGCCCTCATGGAAGTTCTTGCTCTGCTCCATCCACCCTGTGCTCCTGTTCTTGACTGCACAGCCAGCTGCCCTAACTTTCTTGACAAGGCTAATAGGACTGTGAGGAAATAGGACTAATAGGACAAGGCTAATAGGACTGTGAGGCGAAATAAAACTGGAAGTTTTGTCTTCCCAGAGAAAGGGGTTTTCAACCCTTGCCCACATGAGAACAACCCGGGTCATTCTGATTTAATGAATCTGGGACAAGGTTCACACCTTAGGGGAGTTTTAAAAGCTCCCATGTGATCTTAATGTGAAATCAGAGACTATAAGATAAAATCAAAATTTAAAAATTCTACATGTTTGTATTTTCACTGACATTTTTTAGAACTGGTTCTAAAAATTAAGGGTGCTATTGAGATGATAAAATGTAGAAATGATTTTCAAAATACACATTTAATGTTTTTTTTTAAATGTATTTTTTACAATCTGCATTCTCCCCCTCCCATTCTATACTTGGCATTTTTGAGGAAGCCAATGGGAAAAGTGAAGGGACCCTGGAGCTGGATTTGGAGTCCAGCATTCCAGGAGAGGGAATTAGGGTGGTGTGTTAATGAGGGCAAGACTAGCAGCAGTAACAAGGAACACCCTAGCCTTCCCAGGTTTAAGGCAGGCGTTTGGTGCTCATAGACCTGTGCAGGCGGGAAGAGGTCAGGGTGGCCCTCCTCTGTGCAGTCAGGCTACTCCCCAGCTGTGGCTCCCAAGGTGGCCCGGAGCCTCTCCTGCCACCTGCAGGGAGGGGAGGGGGAAGAAAAAAAGGGGTGGGGCTCCACGGGGAGGGCCTGACTGGGCGGGGCCATGTGTGCTCTGCTCCATTGGCCAGAGCTCAGTCATGTGGCCCCTGCACGTGTGCAATGAAAGAGGCTTGGGTCCCAGTGGAGGACGAGTCCCAGAGCCCCAGTCTGAGTAAAGTGTGGGCACCGGGGCCGTGCCAGCCACTGTGCCTGCTGCCCTGGAGCTCACACTCCAGGCAGACGGGTCCTACCGAGACCGAGGGAGGCTCTGAAGGGTGTGCGCTCTTTCTCTTCTTTTCTCCACAGATATCGCAAACGGCACCAGTTCAGGGGGGTACCGCCCGCCTCCCAGAACCAAAGAAGTCATCATCAATGGCCAGACCGTGAAACTTAAATACTGTTTCACCTGCAAGATTTTCCGGCCCCCTCGCGCCTCCCATTGCAGCCTTTGTGATAACTGCGTAGGTGAGTAGTGCCTGGGCGGAGTCTGGCAGGAGCCCAGGTCCTCCGGGTGGGCTCTGCGCCTCTCCAGCCCCGCGCCACGGAACACTCAGTAATGGTTAATATTTCAGCGCATTTGCATCTTGCCACTGATTGAGTTCACCGGGCCTAGAGTCACCAAATCTCTTTTTTATTCTCTTTACACCCTGCACCGCCCTTGGCTGCGCCTCCCCCAGCACAGGCACCAGAATGGGGTCCTCTGTCTCTCAAGGCTGCCAAGTCAGCAGGCGCTTGAAATAAAGTCATGTCGCCCCCAGGCCCCTCGATTGCCGCAGGGCTGGCCACACACCTACGGGAGGCACCCTTGTGCAGTCGTTTGTCCTGACTCCTCAGAAGGGCTGGGGGTGTTCAATCCCCAGTCCATCTGGGGACAGGAAAAGAGGCAGGGTCCGGGAGCCTTCTCCCCCAGGGGCTGGAGTTAGGATCTGTATTCTTCCCGGAGAGCACCAAGGCCTCCCCTCTCTGCCTCCCAACTTCCGCCAGGACAGGCTAGGGAAATAGGCAGACGGGACTGAGAGCTCAGAGGTCTGTAGCTGTAAGGCTGGGCCCTACCACCGGCCCAGCACTGGCCTTCTACAAGTGACCCGGGCCCAGCCCCTGGGATTATTTGGCAAGCGCCTCTTGTCACTGCAGACTGAGAGCTGCTCCCCACACCCACAGACCCTCTTCTCTGTCTGGCTGGAGCTGCCTAGAGATAAGGTTGGCAAGGAGATGGCAGAACACCCAACTGACAGGAAGGGAAGGAAGTAGAGGACAAAAGCTTTGCCACAGTGGGGAACACTCGTAGCCTGCCTCTAGCAGAAGTGACCAGGAGTATTCCTGGGAGAATAAGCAATGGAAACCCTGTTACCTTATAACTGAAAGGATAGGAGTGCCCCTCAGAACAAACCTAACTTCCCTTAGTAACACAGCATTGATTGCCAACACTCTTCGGGAGTCTTAGAATTTGTAGTCTCAATTCTTCTTGAGAAAAATAAGATTTTATAATGTACGTCCTGCTGTGCAAAGCAGTCTTCCATTTATTTGTCTTAAATTAACTTTACCCTAACTTTAATAATCTACAGTTTGGCACAAAGCTCATGTTTTCGCTGTCAGGCCTCGTCTTGGTTTTCTTAACGTAGATAAATTACTTTCAGCCTTGCCTCCCCAACAGAATAGTGTGGAATGTGTTCTGTTTCTCCCATGTAGGAAGTAGCTGATAGTTAAGAGCATGGGATCTGGCAGTGCACAGCCTGGGTTCAAATACCAGGTGCGTGACAGGCAAGGCACTGAAACGCTGTGTGCCTCAGTTTCCTCTTCTCGGTAGTGGGGTTGATAACTGCCTGCCGCATGGGATGGTGGAGAGAATAAATGAATGAACACGTGGAAAGTACCTGGCATGTAGCAAACACTCTGTAATTGTTAGCTGCTCGTGCTCTTGTTACTCCTCCTCCCTTGATAGTTTTGATTGGCTTTCTCTGAACAATGTCTTGACCTTCTATAGATGCAATGACCAAAACTACACCTAGTTCTCCATGTGGGGGCACACCAGAGATTCTACAAGGACACATGACAACTTTTGTTTGAGCACCAATACCCTTCCTGGTGACACCAGCCCCAGTGTCCGTTCCACACTTACCTTGGGGACAAATTAAGCTGAAGGAGCACAGCATCTTAAATGTCTTTGGGGGAACCGTCTACCTGTAGGAGTTCTCAGCACCCTTTCTTGGGTTGTAATTTTGACCTCCAGGCCTGTGACATGATGGGACAATGTGTGTCTTACACTTGTGCACATAAACTCTTCTGTCATTCTGCATGCCTTCTCCTGGAGGTCTAATGCCTTATTCTAGTCTGTATTTTGGTAGGTAGGGTGTTGTTATCTACAAAACTAAAGGTCTTACTGGGCACTGCCTTCTCTTTGTCATTTATAAAACTTTTTACTCATTTCTAAACACCCCCAGTGTTTCCACTCATTTATCCTCTGTTTCTTGTCTCTAGGCTAGAATTTTTTTTTTTTTTTGGGATGGAATCTTGCTCTGTCATCCAGGCTGGAGTACAGTGGCGTGATCTCGGCTCATTGCAACCTCCACCTCCCAGGTTCAAACAATTCTCCTGCCTCAGCCTCTCGAGTAGCTGGACTACAGACACATGCCACCACACCCGGCTAATTTTTTTGTATTTTTCTTAGAGACAAGGTTTCACCATGTTGGCCAGGCTGGTCTTGAACTCCTAGCCTCAAGTGATCCACCTGCCTCGGCCTCCCGAAGTCCTGGGAATACAGATGTGAGCCGCCGCTCCCAGCCTAGGCTATATTTTTAATCACAGTCAAAACTTTCTTCTCAATCTCCTGTGACTTACTGTTTTAAAATTCCTTTTGGATTATTATCAGACATGTTCTGAAAGTTCATATAATCACATTTGTTCCCTCCCATTGCCCACAGGTGTTTATGTCCCTTAAAGAACCCTGATGAATGAAATGTAATTCATTCATCACAACTATGCCTTTGCCTGGTGACAGTGTACTTCTACATGTGAGTGTTTCCAGTAGGATCCCCTCCTGTGCACTCTACCAGCCATGAACCTAGAAGCCACCAGCCTATAATAGGCCAGGAGCCAGGCCTCCACCTTTCTGGTAAATCAAAGTCACAGTGGCCACCTAGCATCCGCAACCGAACATGGTGGTGGTCTATATATGGGAGACCCAGAACAGGAAGGAGAAAGGGAAAGGAGAGGAAGTGGGGAAGTTTGGAGCCGGATCTAGAGGAGGAAGACTGGAGCCCAGGAGCACATTGCAAGCTGCAGCCTCTGAGTGGTGCTCAGGGCCAGCTCTGTGGGGGACAGGTGAGGAAGTAGCATATGAGTGATGTAAAGTAAAGCTGCCCCCAGGGCTCCTCAAAACACCACCCAGTGATTGAAACCTGCATAGCTTCGGTTTTCCAGTTAATTACGGGACGCTTGGGCCTTTGGTTGACTGATGAGCAGGACAGCGGATTGGACCTTCTGCATGCAGGAAAATAGAGTGGAAGGCAAATGTCTCCCACTGAGAAGTGTAATTGCAGATTAACCATGATCTTATTTTTAGATGGAAAGTTTTTACTGAAAGAATTCTTTTTGCAGCAAGGGAAATAGCACAGTGGTATGCTGAAAGCTGAGGTGGGAACTTGTGGCTTCCCTTACCTTGTAGTGAGTGGGTTTGAGCTGGTCCTTCCCAAGCACAATAAATAAATGTCATTTGGCATGGGAGAGGAGAGAAGAAAAATGCAGCTTCCCAGGCCATTCAGAAGAGCAATTTTCTTTGCTAAATAAGTTTGAAAGTCATAGGGGCCTTTTCAGTTGAAGACTCAGGAAGGAGCTTTCTCTGGTCAAATATAGAGTTGATTGGCAGACACCAGTGGTTGGGGACCTGGCTGGGAGAACACAGAGGCCAGGGCTGAATCCTGGTCCACTCATTGAGTAATACTGGAACCTGGCAAGTTATCTGAATGTTCTCAGCTGTTACCACATCTGTAAAATGGATGTGATCCTAGTGCTACCCCGTAGGTTTCTTTTGAAGGTTAACTGAGATAGTGCCTACCACAGCACCCAGCAGACCTGCGGCACACTGAGGGGCCAGTAAGCGCGTGGCTGGCCACTTATGTTCTCATCAGTGACGGGAGTGCCGCCGTCAGTGCTCCCAAGTAATTGATTAAAACAAGAAGCGTCTTCACAAAGCAGTAGGAATCACCTTGTTTCTCTGTATCTGGAAGGATTTAGATGATCTGCTGTGATCAATGTGAATATATTTTCTGTCTCTCTCTGACGTTGTCCCTGTTGCCTGTTTCCATCTGTCTGTTCCTCTGAATCCTTGTCTGTCTCTCTGGTTCTCTCTGAGTCTTGCCATCGCGTTGCTTCTGCACATGTGGAACACAGCATTTCGGGTTGTTTATTTATCCAGGCGGGCTTTGAGGTTATGGGATATTTTTAAACAACCAACAGCTGGGGCCAGGGAGCCACCTCTTCTCTCTCAGATCCTCATATCCCTCAAATCATAAAAGCAAGAGAAACTGAAGGAGCTGAAGAGGCAAAACATGGGCCTGTGAGACCCTCTCAGGCTCACTACATATGTCCTAAAGCCCAGGTGCGTGCTGCCCTCATTTTTCTGTCGGGGAAGGCCCTAGGAGGGATGTCTGTCCTCTGGTGGGCCCTAGTCCAGTGTCAGAATGGTCAGCAGCTTTCGCTGGAATGGGTATTTTTAGTACAGCCTAAACCTGTAATAAAAAGGGATTTACGTGTACTAGATTTAATCACACACTGTGGACAAACTAATAAAGTTTGCTAGACAGTAAGATGAAACACTGCCAGTATTTGCAAGCCAGTTATACAAGAGTCTACCTCACTCTGGCCAGACCCAGGCAGCTTAGTCTAGAGGCTCAGAGGTGGCCTCTGGAGGCAGCTGCAACCTGGGTCCCAGCCCTGCTATCCCGTCTGGGCACAGGGACTGTCTCTGCACCTGCGATGCCACATCTGGAAGGGCTGTGAAGACAAAGGAAGTAGTACATGGAGCCCTCAGGCCATGCCAGCCTCCGGGGGGCACCAAGCAGCACCAGCCTCCTCCCACATCCAGGACATGGCCTGTTCCCTTGTCTTCTGTCCTGTCATTTTTGGTGTGGGTGCCACAAAGAACCTCCAGGCGCCCTCTGCAGGGACTCAGTGTCCAGTGGCTTTTATTTCTGGCAGGACTTTCCCACCCTCTTTTAACTCCTTACAAGCTCCCTTTCTCACTCCCCCACCTCTTTCTGGCTGTGCTTTTCCTCTCCCAGGCACTTGACTTCATCTTACTGCACACTCTGCCTTCTGTCCCACAGTGTCTCCCCCTTGTTGCTCTCACTGCTTCCTCTGTGTGTGGGTTTCTGAGCTCAGACCGCAGATACCTTGTGTGTTGCGTACACTCTGCTGTGTGCCGCCCTCAAGAACTTGCTTCACAGTTGTGCATTAAGAGGTTGGAC